GCCCAGGAACACGACTTGCTTTATAGCCAGGTGCAGACATTTCACACTTTAACCAAATGTTTGTGAAGCATTTTCCCCGTGCCTCATCTCATTTGATCTGGAGTAGGCAGATAGGAGACTTGGTGGAATCCTATTTTATTTTCGTTAGCCAGAAAACGCAGATTTAGGAAGCTTAGAAACTTGACCTGACTGAACAGAAGTAAGAAATGGTGGACCTTGAAAATGACTTCAGGTTTTTTGTCACTGCAGTTAAATATTTCACTCTTTGTTCTCCCTGCGTGATCCACAGTAATAATCTGCTTCAATATTTCCTGCTGTGTTGCTGACAATTACCTGAAAAAGAAGTTGGGGTGCTTCACTGGGCTGGAAAAAGTTTAGCTGCATCAGAAAGCAGCTAATTAAGCAAGTTTGCCCTATATCTAAAAAAGCTAAGTTGACTCACACATGCATGATACATATAAAGCTCTCGCTGGCGCCAATCGAACACATGTGTTTCGATCTGTCATTGTCGATCATGAATTTGGTTGACACTTCTGATATAGCGAAGTTAAAGTTTTTCTTCTAACTAATTTACTTTCGATGTGCAGGAATCTGGGCCCTGGGCCCTTGTTACAAGTGACTGAAACTGTGTTTCATTAGTGAGCTCTGAAGTGTGAACTATACAGCCCTTCTCCCACAAGTCAGCACAGCCAGAAGCTGCAGACAGGCAGGCCCAGCTGCCTTAGAGTAAAGGAGGGGGGTGTGGAGCGGGGCCCCTGGGGTCAGGCATCAGATTCATCAGACTCGGGGTGTAGACCCCGCCCTGCCACCCCTCCCAGGGCACATCCCAGGATATGGACACTGTTTCCAGGGCAATGGCTACAACTGCAGGGAAATCACTGACCCTGGTCTCGCACTTGGCTCCTTGTCCCTGGTCCCGCCCAGCCCACGTCTGTCAGTTACAATTCCAGGCCTGGCAGCCCGTGCTCAGCAGTCAGAGTAGAAAACAAAAACAATGGGAGAGGAAACTGCGAATAGAAGACAGAGCCCCTGCCAGACCAGCAACGTTTCTGTGGCAACACCACTGTGTGAGGGCTTCTGGCTCCGGCCGCGGCTCCGGCCGCGAGTTCACGGCCTCTTGGCTGCTTTGCAAGAGCTTGCAGCTTCATGGCCACGTAACTGGCTGGGTTTCCAAGATGACAGACGCTGCCCAAGAGAGGGCACCTGCTTCCTTCCCCACAACCACCACCGGCTCAGCCCAGCCCAGCCCGCCACACGGCGAGCCCGGGGACCAACTGGCTATGGCGAGCGCCCACCACGTTCTGGAAGGAAAGGGGTTACTATCCTTCCAGAAGTTCCTTGTCACTGTGGGCCAGACTCATTCCACACGCAGGACGGACGGCCTGGCCCACCTCGGGCCTCCTTCCCGCCACGCTCAGTGGAGAGCCACGCCCGGAGAGCGGTGCTTCCTTACGCGGTGCTGGGCAAAGCAGCCCACACGGCTGCACCCACCGCCCACAATTCTCAGCCGTGCCCGACGGGGCCCGGGCAGGTGTCTCCAGGTAACCGGAGCCAGGAAACTGAGAGTCCCTCCGTTATGGCCGGACAGGTGACTCTGCAGGCGACCCAGTCTCCCTGAGCACAGCACCGGCACCTCGGCCCTCGGCATCAGGGCGGCCGAGGGCCAGCGTTGAGAAGCCTCTGTAAGTGGAAGAGCGAGTGCTTGGCCACCACCAGGGACTCCCGGGACTGAGATCGGGAGGAGCCCTGTGGCCGCCCCGTCCGTCTCCAGGCAGCGAGGCTATTCACAGCAGCAGAGGGTGCTCGGCCCAGGCGACCGCCAAGCACAGACTCTTGACAGGCTCGAGGGTGACAGGAGCTGCGCTGTCTTCCTCGGGGCTGGGCGTCTGGGGCAGAACAGACATGCTGCCCATGTGCTCAGGGCGAGGTGGGAGGGCGAAATAGGTCACCCCGCACCAGCCCTCCCTCCCAACCCGAACACACCAGAGCCAGCAGCCGTCTAAATCGTGTTCATGGGACATTTGCTCCTCGCAACCTTTTCATTCGAGGAAGAGACCGGTTCTGGACAGGACAGGACCTGGTTCTGTGCTGCCCCTAAGCTCAGGCTCACGAGGAAGGTTCAAGAACCCTGAGGCCCGACTGGTGGTGCTCAGTGGTTAGCACTGACCCATGAACCAAGAGATCACTGGTTCCATTCTGGGTCAGGCACATCCCTGGGTTGTGGGCTCCATCCCAGTAAGGGCGTGCAGGAGGCAGCCGATTGATGACTCTCTTTCAACAACATTTCTCTCTCTCTATCCCTCTCCCTTCTTCCACCTCTGAAATCAATAAACACACACTTTAAAAAGCAGCAATGGGAAGGGGAGGGCAGGGCGCATGCTGAGGCCTGCTGGAGGGCATCACGCTCAGGGGCCCGGAAGCCCATCCAATGGCTCTCGCTCTCAGTCCTTTGCAAGATGGTTACCACGGCGACGCTGAGGCCTCCCAGAACCCACCTCTCCCTAGTCCAGGCTCGCAAGGGCCACTTGCATGTTAATGGCCAGTGAGCTGAGCCAACTGAGAAGTGAGCAGGGCCCTCAGGACCGGAGCAGCACAAGGGCGCAGCATGGACCTGGAGGACGCTGGACCAGCCAGATGAGCAGACAGCCCGGGCCGAGCTGGGGAGCAGACACTAACTCGGGGACCCCCGGGGCAATGAAGTGATACCGTGTGGGAGCCTTCAGCCATCCCGGTGCAGGTCCAGGCGCTGGTGCTGTGGGAAGTGACCACACGGGGACCCGCAGGCCTTCCAGCCGGATATTTCCAGGAGGACAACACGGGGCCCCGGGGACAGAGGCGTCTCCCTTCTCCACGGGATTCCAGAGGTCCTTCCAGGACGGGGCGGGCAGAGGGCCGGTACTTTTCCACACGCTCCCAGTGCCGAGGTGCCCCCCGGCCAGGCGGCCCACCCTCTGCAAACTCTGTGCAACGGCCGCCTCTGTCCCTCAGCAACGCCGGCCCCCTTCCCCACTTCCCACGAGAACCAGCGAGCGGAGAAGCGGCGCTGTCAGCAGAGAGCTGGGTGCGTTCTCAGGAATACCGTCTCCACTCCCGGGAGACGGGCCTCACCAGACAGGAAGGGTCTCGAGGACACAAGCCCCTGCACCCAACTTGCTGAGACGCACCCCAAACCCTCCAAGTCTCGGACCTGCTGGCCCCAGCTCCTGTGGGGAAATAAGCAGCCCCTGCGCCCCCTGCTGGCCAGTTGGGGCTACGTCGGCCTCGGTAGGGGCTCCGGGAGCGTCCCCTGGCTCGGCTCTCTCCCGCTGGGCTGCCTTCTGCGCTGACCCCTGGCACCTGGCAGGCACTGACCCGAAGGCCCGGGACCGCCCCTGAGATGCAGACCGGCGCACACCTGGGCGCCACCGACGGGAGAAACCCACCCACAGGCTTGCCTTTCTCCTTCGCTTTACAGATCTCTCTTAACCAACGTGAACTTTAATAATGAAAACAATCACTTTAACAAAAAGGGCACCGTCCCCTCCCAGTTCACCCCAGCAGAAATGGTAGCTTGGGTCCTGAGGGACGCGGCAGCAGCAGAGCCTGGAGGAGAGGGGAGCTGAGACTCAGAGGACAAAACCCAACCCAGGGCGGGTGTGCATCCACTCAGAGCCTGGAGGGTCCAGAAAACAGCGAGCACCACAGAACAGTCCGAGGGAACCGCAGGAAGTGGTGCTGGGCCACGGGGCCTGAGTGGCTGTGGGAAGCAGTTTCCATGTGGGGCTCGGGACCCGGGTGGAGAGGGGAGAAGAGCGAGCCAGAGGCACAGGGACTGGGTGGGCTGCACCCACAGCCAGGCCGGCGGCCACAAAGCAGGAGTTCTTGACCCAGGGCCGTGGGAGCAGGAGAGTGGCCTGGGCTCCCATGAGTCCCGACCTTGTAGGTCCTCAGGATGCAGGACGAGTGGGGTCCTGGGTGCTGGCCTGGCTTCTTGCCCCACAGCCCGGCTAAGCCAGCCACCTTCTTGGCACACCCCTGCCCTCCCTCTGCGCCCAGTCGGCCGGCCAAACTGGTGCACGCTGCCTTCTGAGAACAGAGCTGCCTCCCGGGATGAGGTCCTGGAGCGACCCGACCCGTCGTCAGACCCTGCAGCACTTCCAGACTCTCACGGTGGCCCGGGGCCCATTCCCGGCCCCGATGCCACACACTCTCGTGCTGACGTCTGCTCTGAGGCTCAGCGCCCCTGCTCTCCTGCCCCTGTCCCCCTGCACCATGACCCTCCCCATGTCCTGAACAAATGCTACCTGTCACCGCCCTGGGCAAGAGCCCTGGCACAACCACTGGCCGCTCTGAAATGGGATGTGGAGGGAACAAACAGCCGCCAGCAACAAGCCCTGACCCAGCGAGGGCTTCCTAGCCGGAGTTAGGGAGCAGCCCCCGGCCACTCCAGAGCGTCCAGCTGTCCAGTTCATGGGAATCAGATCACTGACCCGAGGTGGGACCACAGGGCACTGCACCCAGCTCACTGGCGTGGTTCCCCCCCAGCACTGCGTGACCCTCAGCAAACCTGCCCGCCGGTGACTGATTGGCGCATCGTGTGCGCTGACCGCCGCACACCAGGAGCTGGAGGGGCGGCGGCAGCGGAGCACCGTCTCACTCAGCACGTGGTGGCGCAGACCCGCACGCGCTGCAGTGGCGGATCACACGCTGCGCCATATGGCGTTGTAGATGCCAACTCCCACACGCAGCTCCCTGGCCGCTCCGGTCTCCCCTGGGTGCCAGGCCACCCTGGTCGGCGTGCACAGCCCATAAGCCCGCTCCAGCCTCACACCCGGCACCGGGTGGAGCACCAAATCCCGGAAACACAGATGTGGTGGCTCAAGGACAGGCTCAAGGATTACTGTCCTACGAGCTTCCGAGGACACGGGCGCCACACGTCACAGTGCTATCCTCTGCGCCACCAGATGCCGGCAGCACCGCCCGACCTGCCCTCCAGGTGAGAGCCGCGCAGCTGCACCCACCTCAGGACGGGCCTCCGGCGGCTTCTTCACCTTCCTGCCCTTTCTCTCTGGCGTGCCTGGCGCTCCGGGCGCTTTCCTCTTCTGCGCTGCCATCCTGCCCGGAAAGCAGAGGGAAGAGAGGTCATGTGGCCATGTGGTGACAGCCTGCAGACACACGCGTGCATTTCACATCGCTTCCTTTTAGTGGAAATGACCCCGTCACAGAGCAGCAAAGGCCTGAGTAAGTCAAGCAGGATAAACCAGCGCAATGGAATCCATCCAAAAACCTCAGTGGCCCAGCTGTATGGCTCAGTGGTTGAGCGTCGCCCGGCAGGGTAGGGCAGGAGGCAGCCAATCAATCATTCTCTCTCATCCATGCTATTTCTCTCTCTCTCTTCATCTCTCTGAAATTAATAAAGACATCTTTTAAAAATCACAACAAATGGGAACGTGTTACAGATATAGAATTAAAAATGTAGAACACTATTGTAGTATTGTCCAATTTTGTTTTTAAGAAAATGCTGAAATAACAATAGAGAAAGCTCTGTTCCCAGCTATGAAAATGTCTGAAGGGCATCAACAAAACCTTGGCCTAAGGGGTGGGGTTATAGGAACTATTTTTCACAGCTCGGTTTTATCTTGCATTTCTCAAGGCTGTAGACTTGAAAAGCATAATTAGCACTGTGACAAGAAACCTGGAAAGAATGAGACTGTTGACAAAAGGGCTTTGAAAAGACAAAGAACTCTGCCAGCAATTACCTTGTTGAAGAAATAAGAAAAGTTTAGCAAATATTTACATAACAGTTACCATAAAAGTTAAGTGAAATCTATATTCATTCTGCAAGTCATCATCAAAAAGTTTAATCACTAAGTATATTTGCTAAAAAAAAAAGGGGGGGGAGAGACTTTTCCACGTTATAGAAAGGTTTCTTTTAATAGTTCCAAGAGCTGACAGAATCTGAGACAATGTTTGTACAGAAAACTACATTTCCTGACACCCATAGTTAGTGGGTTATCGACAGGGCTGAGACCATCCGGTGAGAAAGTGCATGGACGTCCCATGCAGAAGGAAGGAGTCGAACCCGACCTCACGCCACATACAAAATTCACTCAAAAAGGATAAAACACCCAACTGTGAGAGCTCAACTATCAAAGTTTAAAAAGAAAACCTAGGAGTAGCCCTTCATGGCCTGACAACAGCTTCTAAGATGTGATACCAAACTGTAAGCAGCAAAAGGAAAAAAAACAGGTGAGTGACCGGTCAGAATAAAAAAGGCTTGTGCTACAAATGTTGCAAGAAAATAAAAAGGCAACCTACATACAGAATTGGAGAAAATGCGTGCAAGTCATATTCCTGACCGGAGACCTGTATCCAGAATGTGTGAGAACTCTTGCAACTCAGGAAAAAAAAGAAAAGACAAAAAGCCTTATTTAAAAATGGACAAAGAGATTTGAATATGAAATTTCCCAAAGATACTTAAATGGCTAATAAGCACATGGAAAGATGCTCAACACCACTGACCATTTGGGAAGTGCCAATCACAGGCCATGCCACTTCCGCCCAGCTAGTCAGAGGGGATAACTGAACTCTGGGAGGCTGCGGAGGACCCAGAGCGCCCTCTCACGGCAATGGCCAGCCACTTTGTCATGGGGAAGGGCACCTCCCAGCTCACAGGACAGAGCCCCTCCGGGAGGGTCTGCGCCCCACCATCCTCTAGGTCAGAGGCCAGTCCCAGGGCAGGTAAGCCAAGGCCCAGTCCCTGCACCCAGGGCGGTGTCTGTGCTCTGCCCACGTTGATGCAGGACTATTCCAAGTTCAGGCTTGCCCACCTAGACCGATGGCCTCCAACGCCTGCTCTTCTGCTCCCTGACTCTACTCCGTCCTCCCTACCCTCCAGCCAAACTCTAAACCCTGTTATCCCACCCACCAAGCCCACCTCCCATCTCTCTGGCTCTTTCCAGCTCACCACCTCTGCAATCCTCCTCGCTCTCTTCATTCCACGTCCACATGCATGTCCACGACCATCACTCCAGTCCCGCCCTTACACACACGCTCAGCTCCTCTCCGGCAAAACCCCCACTCCAGGACCTGCTCCTGCTGGCCAAAGCCCCCAGGACCAGGCTGGTGGGCCATCCCAGGCCCAGGGCGATCTCCAATGCCCCCCAGGAATCCCACCACTTTTCCCAACTGCAGCCGCTGGCCACCTCGCCTAACCTTCCCCACCCCTCCTCCATTCTCAGCGGAAGACCTTAACTCCCTATCACCCAACTGCCACAAGCTCATCTTGGGCCCTGTCCTCCCGTTACCATGGAAACCGTGCAGGCTCCCACAAGGCCCAATGCTGTTCTTGGGTGCTGGGGCACACCCCCGCCTCCCGCACCCTCTTCCTTCCCTGCCAAGGAATCAACAACCACAAGGTCCCACATCTCCCACTGCTTCCTTCTCCGGAGAAACCTCCAGGGCCGTCACTCACACCCCAGCCAGCCACCCAAGGGCGCTCCCCGCCATCCCAGGGCCAACAGATCCTCTGGCCCCGCTCCACTCCACCTCCACCTCAGCGGGTAAGACCCGAACAAAACACTAACAGTTCCTAACAGCTCCAGGCCGCACCCTCATAATGACCCCAACCCTCCCAAAAAATGCCTGCCCGTGCCCTGCCCCTGTGCTCAGTGGTTGGGCCCCGACCTATGAACAGATCAGGGGTTCGATTCCTGGTTAGGGCACACGCCCCGGTTAAGCTGGATCCCCAGTGAGGCGTGTTTTTCTCTCATCGTGGATGTTTCTGTCTGTCTCTCCCTTCCTCTCTGAAGTCAAGAGAATATCTATTTTTTAAATGCCTGCCCGAGAAAACTCCAGGCTGGGCAAAAGTACCCCGCGACAACCGACAGACAGGCCCCGGCCCGCCAGTCCCTCAGGTACCGCCTCACTCCGCGGGAAGAGCCCCACGCGCCGCTGCACGCGGAGAAGGGGCGCCCTCGGCGCCTGCAGGTCCCGTGGGGCCTCTCCCGCCCCCCCGCCACGCTCACCTCCCTCTCCGCGCCGCTGGGGCCCGTCCCCTCACGCGTGCCGCCCGGGCGCTCCGCCGGCCACCGCCGCGCGAGGTCCCCGCGGCCCGCGCCCAGGCCGCCGAGGCTCCGCCTGGCCCTCCCGCCGCCCCGCAGGCGCGCCTCCCGGCCCACGCCCCCACGCGGCGGCCGCCCCGACTCCGAGACACCGCCGCGCTCGCCTACCTGCGCGTGGCCGCCGACGCCGGCTTCCGGCAGACCCGGCGCCCAGGTAACGCCGTCCCGCCCTCCGCAGCGGCGCCGCCCATTGGACGAGACCCGCCTCCGTCTCTCGGCCGACCAATAGCAAGCGGCGGTTGCCAGGGGGCGGGGCTGGGCGCGGGCCGGTAGCGTCATCTCTGGACGCCGCTAGTCGCTGAGAGCCGCCAGTTGCCAGGCAACCCCTCCCCTCGTGCGGCCGCCGGGTGTGGGCCCCGCTCCGCGGTTTCTGGCCTGGGGCTCGGCTGTCCTGAGGCTGGGAGACCGCCGGGTGCTGGCCCCTTGGACTTGAATGAATGAACGACGCCTGTTGTGGTCCACGGGGATTCATCTCAAACATTACAAATGTGTATAAATTGTTCGATAAATAACGTAATTTAAACTGTGTATCATGTTTAAACGTCACCATTAGACATGTGCGAAGGTTTTCAAATGCAGTAGAGCCATGTCTGCGAGTGTTGTAAGTTCTGATTAGTGGCCATGTGTATCTGATTTGAAGCCGGTAAAATTAGGCATCCGAGCTGTAGATGCCCGAGTTAAATCCTCGTTCTTTGGTTTTTAGAAATATTTAGCAGTCCAGACACTGAGAATGGGAGGAAAGGAAGACAGCTTGTATGGCCCACTGCTAAGATGAGAACTGAGAAGGGGTGACGGCTGGACAGGAATGTGCAGGCATGAGTCTCTGCAAGGCACATACTCAGAATTTCTGGGGCACAGGTGTGAGGGTGTCCAATGTTAATGACTACAGAAAGAGCTATTCCACTGCTCCCACTGGGCCCTCGCCAGTTTTGCTCAGTGGGTAGAGTATTGCCTGTGGACTGAGGGTTCTGGGTTTGATTCTGGTCATATCCGGGGTTGCTGGCTCCATCCCCAACAGGGAGTGTGCAGGAGGCAACCAATCAATAATTCTCTATCATTGATCCTTCTGCTATCTCTCCCTCTCCCTTCCTCTCTCAAATCCATAAAAATATATTTTTAAAAACAACACAAAGACTCCCACTGGGCTTTACAACTCCACCAAAAAAAAAAGCTTCCTGCCCTGGGCAGAGATGGAGCACCAACCTACTTAATGCTCAGGCTTTAATCAACAATGCACAGACTCCTGACACTAAAGGAACTCCCCAAACTTCCAGAATATTAATGCTGGCACGGTGTGAGTGTCCAGTGTGGTGCGGCTTATCCTTTGGGCACACACCCCATACACCCTCACGTCCTATCTGGAGCCACTGGTGAGAGGCTGGGCAGGAAGGCAGACCAGAGCCTCAGTCCTTGTGAATGACAAGAATTTGTGGATGTAAAGAAGAGAGCAAGACCTCGGTGCTGTAGAGGGACAGGAGCAGGGGCTTCTGCTCGCCTGGCCTTGCACGCCCTGGGCCACCTGCACGAGGACATACAGGGTGCTTGGTGCTCTCCAGAAAGCTCTCTGCGACACTGACGCCCCAATCCCACCTGAAGGCAGGGACAGACAGGAGGCAGAGGACGATTCTTCTGAGAAGTGTGGGACTGCTGCCTTCAGTGTGCGGATCAAGGAGTGGTGTTGTCTGACAGAATGCAGCCACCCACCTGTTCTTAAATGTCTTGTTGGTAGCCAGTTAAAAAACAAAATGGAAACCAGTGAAAAAACTTTGGTATTTCATTTAATCCATCATATCCAAAACACATTTCAACATGTAACTTTTTAAGTGAGATATTTTACTTTTAAAATGGTATTGCTTTCAGAACCTGTGTTTTCTTCTCAACTTGGACAGACATTTTCATGAGACCTGATCTATGCTCAGATCTCATGGCTTGCAGTTCAAAAAGTACAGTTCACATCCCAAGTTACCAACAGACTCACAGCTTTCCTAACAACTGGATCAAGTCAATGGCTCGCTGGCGCCTTCCATGTGCTCTGTCCTGGCTGTGACCACACAGCTCTGATGCAGCAGCACTACCCGGGAACTTGTTGGACGTGCAAATTCTCAGGGTCCACCACAGAAGCCTATGAGGAAGCCGAGTGCGACCACCTCTCTGCTGTTTGGTGGGGAAGCTCCTTCAGAGTCGTGCCTGACAAACAGCTCGGCCCTTGTCTCCTCAAGCCAATTCCTTTTATCTGGAGGGAGGGAGGGCATGAAAGCAGTTTAACCCGCCTCGGGCCACTCATCTTGCGGAAAGGATTTATGTTTCACTGGGAAAGTGTGAAGCTTCAGACCTGTGCTGTGCGAATATGAAAGTGCCAGAGCACCACGTTCTTGTCAGTGGACCCCCAAACCAGCCTTTGGAGCTGGAGCAGACCCAGGATCATCACCTCACTTTCGACCTGAAAGAACCAAAGACTGACTCCCTTACACAAGTCCCAATTAATGAGATGTGCAGATCACCCATCGGCCGAACACGGGGCTGCAGAAACCCTCAGGAATTGCTGCTGGGATCACAATGCTCGGGAACCAACTGTACCTATAACCCAGGGCCCTGCCCGCCTGCACCCCCCCTCCCCCCAAAAGCAACTGGACTAACACCAGAGTCACTGAGCCAGCCAAGAGAAGGGCCGCGTGTTCAAGGGGTCCGATGGTTCAGACTTGGAGGCTCTCACAGCTGACACCTGCACAGAAAGGTCAGACCCAGTCAGCCAACCCCTTCCCAGCTTCCCCCAGAGCCACAGGCAATGAGGGCAGCAGTCAGCCCAGAGCCCGCAGACCAGAGTGTAACAAGCAAATGTAACTAAAAAGGAAGGAACTCCCATCTCTGTTCGACAGGCAGATGCTTCACTGACCCAAGGAAGTCCAAGTCCCCTGGTTAACACTAGTGAATGGTTCAATTGTGTCCCAAATGGTAGCGGAAGTCCTAACCCTCAGAGCCTGAGAATGCGACCTCTCCTGGATGCAGGGCCGCTGCAGATGGGACTAGGTAGGATGAGCTCCTAGTGGAGTGGGGGGGACCCTAGGTCAATACCACTGGGTCCATAAAAAGGGGGCGCACCCTGTGAACGGGAAGACAGACGGGCTGATGTTGCTACAAACCAAGGACACCAAGACTGACCGCGCCCTCGGGCAGTGAGGGGAGCGGCTGGCACACTCTCCCTCAGAACCTCCAGGGGAACCAGCCCGAGCACCTCACCTCAGCTCAACAGGAATCCTGATGTTTGAGCCACCGGTTAGTGGGTCTTGGCTACGGCAGCCTAGGAAACAACACAGCTAGACTCCAACTTTAATTTAGAATCCAGCTTTAATGAAGATGATCTTCACGCAACTTCTGCACCCACCACCTGACAGAGCACAATGGTCCAGGCTGCGCACCGCCCTCCAGGGGCTGGAAGCTGGCTCTCCCCTTGTCAGGGAGGTGTCAGGCCAGCCCACCGGCTGGGACTTCTCACCCTGCGATGCCGACGGCTCTGCTCACGTGTGTGCAGCTATGATCCAGAGGATGTCTGTGCTGTAAGCAGAAGTTGCCATGGCACTGGTCACAAGCCACGGGCAGCATCTCTTTCTTCTTACAGCCCTTTTTCGAGCACCGGAAGGTGAAAACCTGAGAAAGCCAGCTGCTTCAGTACTTCAATTGTGTCCATAAGCAATTCTTTAACAAGCCCCACAGTAAGACCATTAACATTTAACTGGAAACTGTTCTTAGTTTCTAGGAATGTAAAAGTATAATATGTAAACCGACTGAATGGCAGAATAACTGGTCTCTATGATGTGCACTGACCACCAGGGGTAGACACTCAACACAGGAGCTGTCCCCTGGTAGTCAGTGCGCTCCCACAGGGGGAGCGCCGCCAGAAGACAGGCTCACAGCTGCAGTGCTAAGCCGCCAGTCGGACATCCCCTGAGGGCTCCTGGACTTTGAGATGACACAGGCCAGTCTGAGGGATCTCTCTGAGTATACAAATTTCATGCACTGGGCCTCTAGTTTTACTATAAAAAATGACTACTAATTAAGGAGAAAGTTTTAATAAGTGACAAATATAAAAGCAGCTGTTTAGTTGGGATTCCTGTAGGGTGATTAGAGGTATTCTCAGGAACACACACACTCTGGGGACATGGGAGGGAAGGAGGCTAAGCATGTAGCATCATGCACAGTCCCTCAGAGACTGGCTCCAGGAGCTCAGGAGACATGGAGGTGTCCCCATCGGGAAGGGAGCTGGAACACTGATCTACAGCCCCAGGCACTTCTGAATGTGTAAAGATTAAGAATGCCAATGAAGCCAAAACCGGTTTGGCTCAGTGGTAGAGCATCGGTCTGCGGACTGAAAGGTCCCGGGTTCGATTCCGGTCAAGGGCATGTATGTTGGCTGCGGGCACATCCCCAGTGGGGGATGTGCAGGAGGCGGCTGGTCGATGTTTCTCTTTCATCGACATTTCTGGCTCTCTTTCTCCCTTCCTCTCTGTAAAAAAATCAATAAAATATTTTTTTTTAAAAAGAAAGAAAGAAAAAAAGAATGCCAATGAAGAGAGGTGTCCAGCAGCCTGGGGCAGCCCTCCGCAAGGACAGGTGTGAGCTGCCTCGAGTGACCTGAGCGTGCAGCCAGCAGGGACACGGGCTGGGCCTGGGAGAACACGCAGCAGGTAGGGAGCAAAGAGCTCCAGAAGAACATGGAGGCCACACCTACATGAGCGGAGGGAAGGACTCAGGTGGAAAGTCTGGGCTGAGCCAAGAATGAGAAGACCGTGCCAGTTCGGAGTCACCCGGTTCGTGGGTCTTTGCTTTGAAAGACCTTCCCGAGGGCCCGAGGGCAGAGCACGCAGTGCGCAGCGAGAGCAGGGGAGAGGTGAGGTCAGGCAGGGTTCTGAGCAGTTAAGGTGCAGGGACGTTATTCTCTTGGGTTCGAGGAGGCAGAGTTAACGGAGTTAAGAGTTACATTTATTTACTGAGATCGTAATTGCTATGTACTTAATATAACATGTTAAGCTGGTTGGTAATTACACATAAGGACCCATGGCTGAAACTGAGATTTAGGCTAAACAAAAGCCAGTTTCTGCCGGAACCGGTTTGGCTCTGTGGATAGAGTGTCACCTGTGGACCAAAAGGTCCCAGGTTCGATTCTGGTCAAGGGCATGTACCTTGGTTGCGGGCACATCCCTGGTGGGGGGTGTGCAGGAGGCATGTTTTTAGCTCTCTATCTCTCTCTCTTCCTCTCTGTGAAAAATCAATAGAATATATTTTTTAAAAATATTACTTTAAAAGAAAAAGCCCCATGAGCAGGGACACAACTGACACCACCAGCTGCCCGGAGAGAACTCTGGTCCTCTGCACTTCCTCCTGCACTTCCCAGAGGTGCTCGGGGAGGAAAGCAGGCACTCACAGAACAGCTCTCCACAACCACATTAACTCTCCATCTTGGGAGAAAGTGTGAGGTTCCCGTAAGGAAAGCAAATCTGTACTGGTCGGTGGCTCAGTGGTTAGAGCGCCAGCTGCTCACCAAAGGATCGCGGGTTTGACTCCTGGTCAATGGCACAAAGCTGGATGCAGGTTCAATCCCAGGACATTGGTGGGAGGCAACCAATCCATGTGTTCCTCTCTCTCCCTGCCTCCTTTCCAGTCTCTCTAAAAATCAATGGGGGAAAATATCCTTGGGTGAGGATTAATACACAAAAAAAGGAAGTAAATCCTAACATAGACCCAAATACTTAAGAGAATGTTTATTTGACTGTAAAAGCCTATGCCACTCACAACACTAACTTTATTAAAGCTTCAGTTTGTACACAAACTATCAGGATGAATTTTCAGTGCGATAACTGGCCCATTCCTCTAAGAATGGCCCATTCCCACTCTCACAAAGCTGGCAGGGAACTGGTCCTCACCTTCTCCTTCTTCCCGGGACGGCCTCTACAATCTCCATCCATGTGCTCACCAACCACCACATCCGGTATCTCCCCCTTCTTCACTGGGATTGGGCGGCTACAAAGCGGGCACACCGGGACCTGAGTATCCTAAAGAATGAACACAGATAACATTCCAGACTCAGGTGACTGAAACTCACATGACAAAAAACAAGACAGTGCAATGCGTAAGAGCAGCCAGATGCCCAACAACCCGTGAGAACACGGCTCCCAGCAGCTCAAAGGCTCACACGGTCAAAACACCTCCGAGCCTGGGCAGGAGCTGAGGAAACAGCTCAGTGAGAACACTGAGTGACAACTGACATCCAGAAGGTGACAGGTAATCACAGAATCACAGGGCCTACGTCTGGGGGATGAGCTGAAAAGTCACCCAGGAATGCTCCCTCACCTAGCAAGTCTATGAATAAAGCATTGCCACTGATCTCCCTAGGGACAGGGGAGGTCAAGTCGGCAAATGAACGGAGTAGCTGGGCCTGGTCATCAGTGCCTGTAAACACGAGTGAGTCACCTGCCCCACCTGGTGACCTGGAACACCCTGGAGGCTAAGACGCCAGCCAGCACTGAAGGAAGCATGTGACGCCAGGTCACTCCCATTTCTGACTGCCTGATGACAAAGCTCATCGAGGCAGTCCCAGCACCACCCGGAAACGGTGACCACGGGCTGGGAGCCACCTGCAGAAGTACCGAGGGCTGTGCTGCCCGGAACTTCCTGCGATGGCGGAGAGGCTCCGTAGCCACACCATCCTTCAGAGCACAGCCATCACTGTTCTGTGATCACTCAACACCGGAACGGGCCAGTGTGACTGAGAGTCTGACCTTAAGGTTTGCTCAACTGTAATCAAGTTATTAGCTACATGAGGCTGGTGTCCATCCTGGACAGCACAGCTTTAAAGAGCAAGAACTAGAATTTTTCAAATAAAGCATGATTAATTACCTTCTTGTATGCAAAGGGACATTTATGTGCAGCGCAGGTAAAATGATCTTTACAGAAATATTGCTTACATACATCACATTTCAATGGGAGAAAATCTAAAACAAAAACAAAAACAAAAAAACACATACACAAAAAAACACTTCACATTTGGTTAAATTGTAAAATGTCTGCACCTAGATATAAAGCAAGCTGTGTTCCTGAGCCGAAGAAAGCTGCAAGGAGGCTGGTTACTAGGGAGGAAGCCAGGCGTTGCTATGTGATGTCATTACCCGGCACCCACAGCAACCCCTTTGGGGCTGGGCTGGGCTGGGCCATGGGCCGCATTTTGTCCCAGGGGGTCTTGGCAGCATTGGCTGTGATTTGGTGTTGCTCCAGGTGGTGGTGGGGCCTGTGTCCTACTTGGGGGATGCTGAGTGTTAATTGGCACCAGGTCCGTTCTGTGGTACTGTTCATTATTTTTAAACAAGAGGCTATCTTTGACCACCTGGGGGCAGCCATATTGTGTGTTGGAGTGATGGTCAATTTGCATATTATCCTTTTATTAGATAGGATGGCCAGTGTGAGTCATGGCAGCTCCTGCGTTGAGCACCTGCCCCCTGGTGGTCTGCATACATCATAGCAACCAATGAATCCACTCGTCAGTCAATTCACATTATTAGGGTTTTATTATATAAGATAGGAAACAGGTATTCACCTCCACTAAGTTCTCTATGACTTTCAAACACATTTTTGAGGTACTCCTCATGAGAAAAAAATGAGGGTGGGAGTCATGAACTTCACAGTGCCAGCAACACTGAAGAATCTTTAAAGCTATATTTTCAAAGGAGTGTCCATCCCATGAGTATTTAAGCAGCACACTTCTATCCACTTGGTCCTGGCAACTAATGTAACAGCTATTTCTCCCCTACAAAACAGCCAACAAATTACCCGTTTCCTAGTAACATCTCTTAAAGGGCTTACCTAGCTGCTTGCAGGTCTCTTCTGAACAGTGCTTCCCCAAGTCAGGGAGCTCCATCAGGAGAGAGTGTCCAGAGCACAGCGGGCAGAGTGTAGCAGCACCTACAGGAATGAGAGCGTCAGGAGGCGAGCAAGGGCGGCTGGTGGTGGCCACCAGGGTTTGTAACTTGCAGCTGAAGAGAGCACACTAACGTGCTCTGTAGGGAACGTTAATAAATGTCCGTCATCCCCTTCGGGGGACAAAGCTTCACAAATTCTTCTTTCAACAAAGAGAAAAATTGGGTGGAAGGGTGCGGGGAGGAGTACCAGCTCATTTGGAATCAACCCCAATTCAGGATTTCAGCAAACCCCATGGGTTTCCCATCTCCAGTCTGCACAGCTGCCTGTGGATTTAACCAAATCCTGTGCTCCCAGTGGCGTCTGGCTGTGTGGGGTGGTCACGGCAGCCTCAGTGACATTTAAGGCACAATTAATTTCTTCTGCTGATACACTTGTTGACATGAACGAGCCTTTGTTACCAGGTGCGAAATCACGCTGGTTGACTACTTTCCCGAAGAGATTCAACTGTGTCCCTCGCTGCTCTTTGAAACTCTTATGCATTGGGTTTTACTTAGAATTTAATCCTTAACGACACTCGGGGTTCATCAGGCAGGAGGCAAGCTGTTAACTCACCGTGGAAAAAGGGGCGACAATTGGTGAAGCCACTGCGCTGGAGAGAAAACTGAGGCCCACAGCAGCCTCCCAAGGCGCCCTCTGTGACCCGGTCCTCCCCTCATCTATGAAAACTCTAGTTCCTCCCAGAATTCATCCCGCCCGCCCTCTCCACCTCCGGGGAGCATCTCCTATGCTGCCCCCTCGGGTCGGGGTAGTGCCACTCCCTCTGCCACCATCCTCACCATGCCGCACCCAAGCCACAGAGCCGCTGCTCTCCCGAGATCCCGTAACCCTTCCCGGCACAGACCTTCCTTTACTATCAACCCTGCGGGGCGAGGTCTGCCCGTGGCTGCGTTGCAGCGCGCAACGCCTAACGGGTGCTCCGCGCTCTGGTGGAAGCAAATGCCGAGAGCCCGGCCTCGCTTCTGGACACCGCAGCAGCGGCGTTAGAGCCCTGTCCCGGGGTAGCTCTGCTGGCACGTTAGCGCGCTAATCCGACCCCATAAGCCGGAGCCCTGCTGCAGCTCCTGCGCCCGGGCTCGGGCCCACCCAGGACCCCGATCCTGAGCTCCGCCCCAGCCTGGACCCTGGCCTCGCTGCTCCCGCCGGGCCCCGCCCCCAGCCCCGGTCTCTAGCCCCAGCCCCAGCCCCGGCTCCGCTGCTCCAGCCGGGCCCCACCCCCAACCCCCAGCCCTCAGCCCCCGGCCCCGGCCCTGGCCCCGCCCCCAGCCCCCAGCCCCCGGCCCCGGACCTGGCCCCGCTGCTCCCGCCGGGCCCAGCCCTCAGGCTGGACCCCGGTCCCGCTGCTCCTGCCGGGCCCCGCCCCCAGCCTGGCCCCCGGCCCCGCACCTGGCTCTCGTCGAAGGCCGCTGCGGCCGCAGAGGCGGGCCGAAGGTGGCGCAGCCGGGGAGGTGGGTAGTCCTTTTCTGAGGCCCAACGCCGAAAGGACGAGGAAAACTGGGCCGGAGAGGTGACGGAGGTCCGGCCGAGCCGGGGAAGGAGCGGAGCATCGCGCCACTCCCAGGTCCCTTCCATTTATTCGCAGCTGAAGCGTCCGAGAGCCACCAGGGCGCCCGCTTTCCCGCGCGCCCCGATGACGACACCTCCGGAAGGCCAATCCCGTTTCGCCATTCATGGCGCGCCCCTAAACGTCATCGAAAATCTGACCAATCCCGTCCGGTCGCGGCCGTGTCGGCACGCCCACTCCTCGATGCCCCGCCTCCCTTCTCCAGCATTCGCGCAGCTTCTCGAAGCGCAGTCACCGTGACGCAGCGCCGCGCAGGCGCACTGGGCCCACCGCCGGGCGCGGGAAAGCGGAGTGGGGGGAGCGGCCGCGAGCGCGTGCGGCCGGGCGGCCTCGGCCGCGCAGATGGACGGACCGCGCTGGACGGCGCCGGCGGGCGGCGCGGAGGGCCGCAGCGAGGTACGGAGCTGTCAGGGCAGCGGCCCGCGGGGTCAGCGAGGCTGGGGTGCTGGAGCTTGGCCGTTCGAGGGGGAAGAAAAAGGCCTTTCCAGAAGAACGAGGATGGTTTGAAGGAGCATAGAGAGACTGCGGCGGTACCGACGTGGCTGTCTGCTCCCCGAGCCGCCTGGCGGTGCCTGACCGCAGGCTTCACTGTGGGGCGTAGCCCGGACGTGCGTGGCAGCCGCACTCACTCCGGGCATCGTCACGGCGTCACCGCAAGAGGCCATCGCTGCTGGCCTGTGGACCCGGGAGCGGCACCACGCGTGCTCGGGGCCGCGCTCTGTGTTCCCGTTGAAAGGACACCGTGTGTGATGGGCACTGTGGATTCCTTAACGTTGAAACGGCCCGAACTTGCTTACCCGACGCGATCACTTCTCCGTAGTTGACCGCACAGTCTTCTCGGGCTCAGGGAACCCGCAGCCCCTGGAGCACCAGCTGGGCCACCCCACACAGCCGGACGCCACCGGAAGCACAGGAATGCCAGAGCCCCAACAGAACCCGCCGCGAAACACCCCCCAGTTCGCATACTGGAGCCGGAACAAGAAAACAGGGGCACCGGTTGCACCTCAGCTGGGACTGTGCCCGCGGGTCTGTCTGAGGGGTTCCTGCACCCGGGCCATGGCCCAATGGCGGAGGAAGCTCTGCAAGCCTTGATTTTTGGAGTTACAGATCTTAGCCAGTAGGCAGGTACGCAAAGGTGGAGTGGAAAATACTAAGGGTAGATTGTGTGCACGCGTGCACGGGCATTTATACACATACTAGAGGCCCTACGCACAAAATTCCTGCAAGAATACCACCCCCCATTCTCCGCCCCCCGCCCCCCCCCTGCCCAGCACCGGCTTTCCTCTGTCACTCGGGACCCAGGCTTCCCTCCCCCAGGCCATCCGCAGGCACCTGGACTGCGCTGGATGCCCCCAGGCTCTGGCTTCATCAGGAAGGACTCTGGAAGACTTCTGGTCTAATTAGCATATTACCCTTGCATTATTATAGATATGCCCATTTCCCCTAGTCTTAGAAAAAAGCTGTTTGAGATCATATTCTGCACATGACAGGATGCCAGGATACTCCCTGTGTATTTCTCAGAAGCAGACACTCCTACATAACAATTCTCCACCCAACCACTGCAGGAAATCACCATTCAAACGATGTTGTTTCAATCCACAGACCCCATTTGAATTCTGACAACTGTGTCAACAGTGTTCCCCACTCCCCACCCCTAGGATCCCATCCACGATCACGTTTAATCCCCTCCAACTTAGCACCGACCGGTCCTCTGTCATTTCTGTTCCTGACAGTTTTTCAGTTTTAGTTAAAAATCATAGACTTTTGCCCTAACTGGTTTGGCTCAGTGGATAGAGCATCAGCCTGTGGACTGAAGGGTCCCAGGTTCGATTTTGATCAAGGGCACATAACTTGGTTGCAGGTTTGATCCCTGCCCTGGTCGAGGCATTTGGCAGGCCACCAATCTATGTGTCTCTCTCACATTGATTTTTCTCTCTCTTCCTCCGTCACCCCCTCCACTGTCTCTAGAAATCAATGGGTAATATCCTCAGATGAGGATTAATCACACACACACACACCCCAAAAAAATAATCACAGACTTTTGCCCAGCCAATATGACTCAGTGGTTGAGTGTCAACCCATGAAGCAAGAGGTCACTGGTTTGTCCTAGCCAGTTTTGCTCAGTGGTGGGAGCATTGGCACATGCTATGGACTGAAGAATCCTGGGTTCAATTCCAGTCAAGGGCACATACCTCCTGAAGACTGGAGGTTCAATCAGCACACCTGAGGCAACATATGAATGTGTGTGTCTCTGTCTCTCCCCCTCTCTTACACTCTGTCTAAAAATCAGTGGGGAAAAATACCCTCAGGTGAGGATTAACAAAAAAAAAAAAAAAAAAAAGTTCTCCTATTCCATTTCTGGTCAGGGCACATGCCTAGGTTGTGGGCTCTATCCCCAGTAGGAGGCAGCCCATTGATGTTTCTCTCTCAATGCTCTCTGTCCCTCTCCCTTCCTCTCTAAAAATCAATTTAAAAACGTTAAAAAAAAAACACACCAAAAAACTCACAGACTTCATATATAGAAGTCAGGATTCTTTGGGAAAGACAGTGCTGGGGAAATAGGAAGTAGCAGAGAAAGAGAAAGACCAGACAGGAGACGGATGGGCTCCTTGAAAGAAGCCAACAGCTAAGTCTCCAAGTGCTGGGCGGGGCTGTGGAGGACAGGACCCGTCACTCATCCAGGGTTGGCAGTGCACACAATGCCACGTGACACAAGATGACTCAGGGTCCGTTGATGTGTCAGGACAGGACGTGTTTTTTTCAGCAGGAAAATGACAAACGGTGTGCTTGCAGGCATAAGGTTGCAGCCCGTCCTGCAATGGACGACACTAATCTTGAGGACCAGTCACGGCAGTGTCTGCCAGGTTTCTCCCTTTCTTCATTTGTAGGTTGATAAGTGTTCTGTAGGGAGAGGTCCCGAGACCCACTGTTACCTTATTCTTCCTCCACCTGACTTTCTTGACCTTTACCAAAGACTTCTGCCTGAGCCACACAGTGCAGTTTCTAAAATGCCCATCATCTGTCCTGCATCTATTAGTTGGCATTCTTGAGGAAAAGATTTTCCTTCTCTTTAATTTTACTCATCTGTGTGTAGCAGTATGGATTCATGGGTTTGTGTTTTATTCCTAGGGTAGTATTCTATTGCTATCATTATCAATTTTGATGTTCAAATTGTCCAAGAGCCTCATCCAGCTGGATCCTGAGTTCTTTTGATGTGTCTCCATCATTCTTCAAACCTTCCTTACGTTCTGGTGCAAGATGTGTGCACTCTTCCGGCCCAGCCCCAGCATCAGGATTTCTCAGCACCTCTGTTTCTTTTTAATGGAGGATGGTATTTAGAAAGCAAGATTTCCTTGGCTGGCTTGGCTTAGCGGTTG